GAACAGCCAGGAGGCCTTTGGGAAAAGTGTGCAGTCTGGAGAGATAGATCAGAATCAGACTGGGAAGGGCTTTAAATACTACCTAGAGAAGTCTGTGTGCTGTCCTAGAGGCACTGGGGAGCCACGGAAACTTCTTGAGCAGGGGAGTGTCCTGACTTTAGACTCCTTTTTCCCCTTTAACACCTTCTTCTCATTCCTCTAGAGCTGATGGGGACCTCAAAGGCCACGTAGTCCACCCCCCCTCATTTTACAAATGAGAAAATCAAGGGGAGGAATAGATTAGAGGTCGTTGGGTGGCAGTGGACCTGAAGTGAAGAAGATCTGAGTTTGAAGCCTACCTCAGACACTTATTAGCAGTATGACCCTAGGTAAGTCACTTAACTTCTATTTGCCCCAATTTCCTCATCTGTAAAATGGGGGTAATAATAGCATCAATCTCTCAAGGCTGTTGTGAGGATCCAAGTAAAGCTCTTAACACATGCCCAGTACATAGTAGGTGCTTAATAGATGCTTCTTCTCCTCCCATTTTCTATATGTAAAGTGCTTTGCAGACCCCAAAAGTGACATAAATGCTATTACTACTATTAAGTGATTTACCCAAGATTCTACCTGTGAAATCCTCTGTTTTGGGAAGCATTAACCCCACAAGCCTATATCATTTATGATTTGCTAAGTTCCGTACTTTCTACATGTCCCACCATCTCCAGGAAGCCTTCCCTGCCTGCCTTGGCCTATGGCCCTCTCTAGCTCTTCTCTGGGTTCTTCTCTCATGTGCCATGTCTGTATTGTTAGGTCGTTGGGTTTTTTTTTAATGTGTATAATCCTTCTGCCCTGTGAGATTATAAGCCCTTTGAGGTCAGTGACTACATTTAATCCTGTGTGTAGCAAAAAAAGCCCTGGTTCTGGGGTCAGAGGACCTGGGTTCAAATCTCGTCTCCGAGGCCTTCTACCTGTGTGACCTTGGGCAGACCACATCACCTCCGTCAGGCTGTCTGTTCTAAATGTCTGCCCCTGTGAGTCAAGGCCAAGAGGACCGAGATTGGGGCAGCTAGGTGGTGCAGTGGATAGAGCACTGGCCCTGGAGCCAGGAGGACCTGAGTTCAAATCTGGCCTCAGACGAAACACTTGACACTTGCTAGCTGTGTGACTCTGGGCAAGTCACTTAACCCCCATTGCCTCCCAAAACAAACAACATGCTGAAAACTAAAAATAAATAAATTAATTTAAAAATAAAAAAAAATAGAAAAGGACCAATGTCATAAAAAACCAACCAAACAATAACAAAAACAAGAGGGAAGAATAGACCAGGATGACGTCTTGACTTGCTAAAGGAATTTTCGTAGATGATGAAACCAAGGCTCTGAGTAGTAGTGACTTGCCCAAGGTCATACAACTAGTAAATGATAGAAACGGGACCAAACCCAGCTCTCTTAGAGAACTAGCTTTATAACTATTTTTTAAGTTTCTGTTTTGTTCAAAAGTGCTTAAAATGTTGTCTCATGTTTATATCATGCTTTTTGATTTATATCATGTTTATATCGTGCCTTATGGTTTCTGAAGCACTTCCCTCCATACAACCCCATAAACTGGGTCTTGACCTCAGTCCACAAACAGGGGAAAAGTGATTGGGCATAGGCTGGAGGCACTCTGAGGTCCCTTCTAGCTCTCTCGGTCCATGCTCACTAGTTCTGAGATTTGGAGTACTGCTTCCTCTAGATTATAGACCTCATCTGAGAACGTCGGGGCATGTTGCACATTGCTTTTGTCTGTCACCTTTCTGATCTCAACACCCTGACCCTTCCTCTTGCTCCCCATAGAAAAGCATCCCACAAATTTGGCCCAAGAAATCGGGAGTGGGTTTTTTGTTTCTGAGTTGTTTCTTCTCTGATCTGAAGCAGTATTTGAGAGGCTCAGTGGGTGGTGCTACAGTATATGAACTTGAGTTTCAAAACCTAAAACAAGCCCTGAAACAGGAAGGGGAGAGAGAGAGAGAGAGAGAGAGAGAGAAGAGGAGAGAGAGAGAGAGAGAGAGAGAGAGAGAGAGAGAGAGAGAGAGAGAACCAGAAGGTACAGGAGAAAATAGATTTACTACCCTTCATGTAGGTTCTTATGCTTCATCCGTGTCTCCCAGTGACCTGTTACGTATAAAAATGGCCCCCTTTTTCCTTCTTGCAAACTGTTATCCTCTGGGTTATTTATTCTGGGGTTTGCAGAATCAAACTGGCCTGTTTTCCACATGTGACTGAGAACTCCTATCCCACATCCTACCCTGGAGATAAAAGCAGGGACATAAATTGTTCCATGTTCTTGTCTCTTGCAGGGCCTTGATCCTGAGAGCTGACAGGGATGAGCTGATGCAGTCCCGGCATGGTTCTCAGATGCTGCTCATATTTCCTGGTGAAAGAAACCATTGGCATTATAAACACATTGGGGAACTATCAAAGCCCTTCTTGCATTAGAGGAGGGGAAAATGGGATGTTTAAGAAAGCAGTTTATCAGCAAACTTGCCTTCTGAGTCCAGCAACAGGAAGGAGAGGGTGAGGGGCTAGTGTCCAGGGGGCAGTTGTTCCCAGCAGGAGGTGTGTGGGGTTTTTTTGGCCTTTGTTTTCCTTCCTGAGCCAAAATAATAGTAAGCACTGTCTGAGAGAGATTAAATACGACTCCTGTTACCCTATCGGCAGCTGCAGATACGCAGACCCCTGTGCACTTTCCTTAGAGTGAGTGGTGGAGAAGAATTGATTCCTGGAAAATATGAACCTCACACCAGCCCAACCAGGAAACTTGATTTGTAAATAAAAAGGCTTGTTTGGATAATTATTGGGCAGTAGATAAGTTATAGAATGGTGGACTACAGAATTGCAAGAGTTCTTTGAATATGGAATGTTCAAATACAGCACAACAGATCTGGAGAGGACTTTATAGAATGTTATATCGAGGGGGGCAGCATAGAACACGGACTGGCAAAGCTGGAAGAATTGTGAACACAGAATGTTAGAATGTAGAAAGTCAGACCTCAAACTAGAACATTACAAGAAAGAATGTTAATGCTGAAAGGGCTCTTAGAACATAAAACATTAGAACACAGGATATTAGTGCCAGAAAGAACTTTGGAAAGTAGCAAGTCAGACCTGGAAGAAACTTTAAAACAATGAATATTACAATACCAAATGGTAATGCTAAAAGGGGCCTTGGAACACAGAATGTTAGAATATATTATATATATTGTATATATATATATATATATATATATACATTTATCTATATCCTATAGGATGTTTGAACACAGAAAGTCAGACTTAGAAGAGTATAGAACAAAGTATGTTAGGATATAGAATGTCAGAGATGGAATGTCATGCAATTCAATCTTCTCATTTTTTGGATGGAGAAACTAAGATTCAACAAATACAAATTAGCAGCATAATGGAGAGAGAACCCAAGGTTTCCTGGTTCTCAGCTCTGTATTCTTTCTACTAAAATTCTATGTGAATAACTGCCTTTCCCCCTTAGCGTTTTCTAGAGTTCCTATGCCAATGCTTTGAATCTGGCTATAAGGTATAATGGGCCTGAAGGTGTCCAGTTTAGCTCAAGCAGGCAAATTGAGGGAAAAAAGGGAGTGGGAAGAGGATTTCTTCAAGGGCTCTGAATCCAGACCTGTGGTATCGGCACATTTGGAGAGTTCTCTATAAAGAGGGCCCTGGATCTACAAAAAAAACCCAGGAGCCTGGCAGGTGTTAAGGCCTCATTAGGCCCCTTCTGAGCTCAAGCGAGTAGCCATTCAGAGAAACCCCCAGCAGCCAAGCTCTGTGGTTAATGTATACTGTGCGTTTTTTTGTCTAAAGTGGAAACAACTCAAGCCACACCAGGTCAGTCCATTACTGCCGACTCCCCCTCCCCTTGTCCTCTCAGAGTATAATTAAGGGCTATTGCTGGTGCCAGTGACTGATTCCTAGTAAGCTTCGTGCTCTCTCTCGCCCCCTAACATGCTTGAAATATTTCCCCTCTCAATTTATTCATGATTTATATATTTGACCCCCCGAGGGCCAGACAGCCCATCCTCGTCCCCTTTGTTATTTTCTCCTTGTAAAACCCCTTTTATGGGAAGGGAGAGCAGCTTCTTCGAGGGGATGACCGTTAACTTATTTTGACTCGAGCTGGGCCCAGGAAGAGCCAAGCCAGCTCTGGTGGGATGGGGAGCTGGGGGGAGGGTGTCGGGACGGAATTTGGTTGCTGCTGTAGATTGTGAGTACGACTGTGTGTATGTGTCCTTTGGATTCCCCCATCCCGTGGGGAGCTGGGGCGGGGTTGGGGGTGGTGGGGCGTTCTTCCTCTGCCTCCCTGCTTGGAAAGAAGCCGTCCGTGTTCCGTTTTCCCCTGGGAGAGAAAGCAATCTGGGATATAGGGTGGTGTGTTGGTGACCACGAGGGACTGCCCAGGCTGCAACCCCAGCCTTTTTCTCCCGGGCTGGGATCGGGAAAGGAGACTTTTGCCTGGGAATCTGGAGGGGAAGGGGGGTGGGGAGAAAAGCCTCCTCCAACTTAATCACATTCACATGACCAATCCCCAAATAAGAGGGAGAAATAAAATGTGTAAAGCGAAAGGGGGAGGGAGGGAGTAGAGGAGGAAAGGGCTGGTTTCTGAAGCAAAGGGGATGGGAGAGGGGAGGAGAGAGGCGGGGAGCGGGTTGGTCAGCGGCGTTAGCCCTTCCTCCTCCTCCTCCTCGTTTTCCTCCTCCTAGTCCTAGTCCTCGTCCTCGTCCTCCTCCTCCTCGTCCTCCTCCTCCTCCTCCTCCTGCTTCCCCCGCGGGGAAGCTCCGAGGCAGCCGCGCGGATGTGAAAGTCCCTAGCTAGGCTAGGCTAGGCTAGGGAGGGTAGGCGGTGGGGGCCAGAGCAGGAGCCGGACAGGGAGCTGCGGGCGGGCGTTACGAGAGCTCTTCGAGCCGCGCAGGAAACAGGTTTAGCATCGACCCCCCCCTCCCCACTTCCCAACAGCTCCCCCCACCCGCCCGCCCCTCTCGCCAGCCCCTGCCCCTCCCTCCCCGCTCTCCCGCTGCTCGCTCCGGCAGCTCCAAATGCACTCGGCTGCGCTGCAGCTCAGGAGGCGTCAGGATGGTTCCTCCTGCCGTGGGGGGCGCAGCCCGTAGCCCCCGGCTCCTGGGGGTGACGACCCCCCTGCCGCAGCCGCTACTGCTGCTGCTGCTGCTGCTAGAAGGGAGCGCCGCGCTGGAGATCCAACGGCGATTCCCCTCGCCCACCCCGACCAACAACTTCGCCCTGGACGGCCCCGGGGGGAAGGTGTACCTGGCAGCGGTGAACAGGCTCTACCAGCTGTCCGGCCCCAACCTGAGCCTGGAGGCGGAGGAGGCTGTGGGGCCGGTGCGGGACAACCCCTTATGCCACGCCCCGCAGCTTCCCCAGGCCTCCTGCGAGCACCCCAAAATGCTGACGAACAACTACAACAAAATCCTTCAGCTAGACCCCGGGCAGGGGTTGGTGGTGGTCTGCGGCTCCATTTACCAAGGCTTCTGCCAGCTGAGGCGCCTGGGCAACATCTCGGCTGTGGCCGTGAGCTTTCCCCCGACGGCAGACGGCACCGAGCCCGTCACCGTCTTCCCCAGCATGCTCAACGTAGCAGCCAACCACCCTAATGCTTCGACTGTGGGCCTGGTGCTGGAACCGCCGTCGGGGGTCCTCGGAGGTGCCAGTGCCGGCGGCGGGACCCGGCTGCTGGTGGGAGCCACCTACACCGGCTTCGGGAGCCAGTTCTTCCCCCGGAACCAAAGTCTGGAAGACCACCGCTTCGAGAACACTCCGGAGATCGCCATCCGCTCCCTGGACACACGTGGTGACCTGGCCAAACTCTTCACTTTCGACCTCAACCCCTCCGACGACAATATTCTCAAGATCAAGCAGAGGGCCAAGGCTTTGCACAAACTGGGCTTCGTCCGCGCCTTCCTGCACCCGGGCAGCAGTGGTGGCGCGGCGGCGCCCCACAGACGGAACGGGCCCTGGGCACCGACCACCCCAGCCTATGCCTACCTGGCCCTAAATAGCGAGGCCAAGGCTGGAGACAAGGAGAGCCAGTCTCACAGCCTGCTGGCCCGCATCTGCCTCGGTTGGGGGCCGGCCGGAGGGCCCGGCGGGGCGGCCGCGGAGACCAAGAAACTCACCGAGTCCTACATCCAGCTGAAGTTGCACTGCGGCGGGCCGGCCGGCGGCGAGGTCTTCAACCGTCTGGTGTCCGTGTTTCCGGCGGCGCCGGGGCCGAGCCGGCCCGAAGACCTGCTGTTCGGGGTGTTTGAGCGGGCAGCCCCTGGCGGCACCGGTGGGGCCGGAGCACGCGCACAGTCTGCCCTCTGTGTTTTCCGCTTTATGGACATCGAGGGAGCGATCCGGGCCGCTCGCAGAGCGTGCTTCGTGGACCCCTCGCCCGACGTAGTCGCAGTGCTGGAGAGTGTGGTCCAGGGCACCGGGCCAGCTTGCGAGAAGAAAAGGAACATCCAGGTACCAAGCAGCTTGGGAGTGGGGAGCGGGGAGCGGGGAGTGGAGAGCCAGAGAGAGAAGGCTGGCTCCCTTATTGGGCAAAGAAGGTGAGTCAGCATTTGATTGTGAGGACAGGTGTATGTTTTGGGGTAGCAGGAGCCAGAAGTTTCCTGGAATTCTGACTCCCATCTTCCTCCTTCTTCAGTCTCTTTTCCTTCTTTCCCAGTAGGTATGCTAAATTCTGGGAGAGAGCTTCCTCCCCTTTCCTCAAGCCCCTGCCTCCCAAGAACTCCTATCCTAGCTCCTTTCCATTCCTTCCCGCTGAAAGTGCAGGCCCCAGATAACAATCGTTCCCCGGGGCACGGGACCCACACTCACTTCCTTGCCGGTGTTTGTCTGGGTCTCTAGGACAAACTTTTCAGCCAATCAGAAGAACTTGTAGCAGCCCTTCTTACCGAGAGATTTGGGGCTGCCTCTTCATAACCCTGCAACTCTCTGACCCCTCGGGGTTTTCGAAGGGTGTATAGAATGTCCCCCTCTTCGTCATCAGGCTTTTCTCTGGAAGGTTTACGTAGCAGAATGTGGTAAGAAGTCCCAGGAGCTAGCTCTCTCTCTCTCTCTCTCTCTCTCTCTCTCTCTCTCTCTCTCTCTCTCTCTCTCTTCCTTCCCTCCCTCCCTCCCTCTCCTCTCTCTCTCTCTCTCTCTCTCTCTCTCTCTCTCTCTCTCTCCCTCCCTCTTTCAAGTTAGGAAGGGTCAGTGACCTGGCCCTGCTGCTTGCTTTCCTGGGTTTATGGAACTGAGTAGATAAGTCCCAGCTGTGAAGCGTCTGTCCTGCTCCAATCTTGGGGTCAAATTTGTGGCCAAGGCACCTGGGAGGACCCTCCCTTTCCCTCCCCCGTCCTTGACCCTTACCACCTCCCTTAAACCTTGTCTTTGCTCCTATCGAGGAGAATTTTCCTATCCCTAGACACTAGAGATAGCATGGCAAAGTGATTAGGGAGCTGTCCTCAAAGTTAGGAATAAGGCCGAGTGCCCGTGTTGCCTCATACTGTGTGACAGTGGGCTAATTACTTAATTTCTGAATGTTCTAGACCAGAAGGATCGAACAGGAAACCCAGTGCTCCAGAACCAGATTAAAATGTAATTGGGAAACATTTAACCAAAGAAATTAAAATTCAATGGAACATAGACAATGTTAATATGTGGTTTTCTAGGTTGATGTCTGGCTGCAGGGATCCATCCTTCAGACGTCTTTATTTGAGTTTGATACCTCTGCTCTAGAGCCTAGAACCCCTTCACCTCCAAGCCTACAAGTTGCAGAGAATGGGCTGTTCTGCATTGGTAGATTCAGACCAAAGGCAGAGGCTAAAGAGATGCTGTCTCCAAGAGTACCTTTCTGTGATCTAGCTGTCATCACCTGTACCATGATCAGGTCCTGGGAAGGCCAGGGCCAGTCAGCACCCTCTGGGAAGGAGGAGAGAAAGCTCTATATATATGTGTGTGTGTGTGTGTGTGTGTGTGGTGTGTGTGTGTGTGTGTGTGTGTGTGTGTGTGTGTGTGTAAATTTGTGGTCTGATGGGAGTTACTCAGACTCCTCTTTGGGTTAGCACAGAGCCAAGCACGTGGTGGTTTTTCACCCACCCACTCCCCCTTCCTTTGGGAATCATCCTCATTCCCACGTTCCTCAGGCCCCAGTGACCAGTAGTGACTCAGAACACTGCTGGGTTGCTGCCTTCTTCTTAGAGGGGGTTGGGGAGGACAGGAGCTTTGGAGGATGCTGGGGCTATCCCAGCTGTTCTCTGTGCTCACTGGGCTGGGTTCAGCAATGGGAGGCCAGCAAGGTTCCGAGAGCACTAAATGGCTTTTCCTTGTGGATTCCAGGGGAAAGTTGACAAATCTGCCTTTCAACCACTTTGGGGAATATACACATGGAAGAGACAGGGCCATTCTTCTTCCTTATAGGAAGAGGCACTAGCTTGAGGGATGTGATATTTGATTTTTCCTAAGGAGAGAAGCTCACTTTTGAGAAATACAGGGACATGTAGATGTGTCTGGATTGCTTTGTGGGCCCCAGTAGGGCTGTGTGACAGGTGATGGGGCTCTGGCAGACTTTTCTGCCCCTGGGGAAGGGACAGGAAGTTTTCTGGGCATGGTCAGCTGTTAAAGGACCTGCCTTTCCTCCTTTCTTTCTGTGATCTTTCTCAGTGGTGCTGTCTTGGCACCAACAGATAGGGCCAGCTGCCTGGCTGGCACCAGGGCCAGGATACCCAGGAGCCAATAGGGTTTTGACTTTTTAGCTTCTGGTTTGTTGTGGTGCTTTGGGTCTTTATAGCATCAAACCACTGTCTCTTGCTTAGGAAATGATAACATTGGTACATTAAGCCCTTGACTCTTCTCCTAATTGAGCAGATATGGTCAGGTTCAAGGTTGGTTTTCTGTGTACTAGGATTATTTGGAAGTATACGACTCTATCTGTCTGAGATCTCCTCCATCTTAGCTTAGAATCTCCTGCAGAGAGATGTCTCAGGGATCCTTCTTGGGCCTCCTTGTCTCCTAAATTCCCTTGTAGAGGAGAACAAATAGACTTTAATCCAATGTGATCTCTCCTTCGGTTTTCTTGGATTCTACAGACAAAAATAGCTAAGCAGTGTTGGATGGATCCCCTAGCCTAATTCAAGAGTCCGTTGGCCCAGGTATCTGCCTATTTCTCTAGGATCCGATAACAAAATCATCTCTGTCATGCAAAGCCCCTCATACCCTAGCCCCCTCCTGTTTTTTCAGTCTTCTTACACCTTCCTCCCTAACACATAGTCATCATTCCAGTGGCACTGGCCTCCTGGCTGGTCCTAGAACAAGATGCTCCATTGCTCAGCTGCAGGCATTTTCTCTGGCTGTGCGTGCCTGGAACGTGCTTCCCCTTCATCTCCACCTACTGCCTTCCCTGGCTTCCTTCAGGTCTCAATTAAAATCCTATCTTCTACCCTTTAACAGGGTTTAGACCCTCTTAATTCTAGGGCTTTCTTTCTTTTAATTATTTCCTGTTTATCCTGTATATATGTTTGCTTGTTGTCTCTCCTATTTTAGATTGTAAGCTCCTTGAGGGCAGGGACTGTCTTTTGCCTCTTTTTGTATTCCCAGTGTTTAAGTACAGTGCCTGGCACATAGTAAGCACTTCATAAATGTTTATTGATTGATGGATATTCATGCTTTCCACTGTAGATATTAATATGAGAAGGCAGAGTACAGCAATGGAAAGAGTATTAACTCTGGAGTCAGAGGAGCTGAGTTCAAATTCTACCTGTCAATACTACCTTTGTGATCCTGTGCATGTCATTTAGCTTTCCTGAGCCTCAGTTTCTTTTTTCTGTAAAATGGGCAGGATCAGACTGTCCATAGCTTCTGAGGGCTTCTGAGACCCTCAAAAGCTATGTATATTTCAATACCTCAATTTATCGGTGATCTCAATACTGTCAAATACTCCCTTTCCCAGTGTGCTTTGAAATCCTGCCATACCTTCTCATTTTGAGTATTTCTTGTCTGTCTCCACCTAATGTGCTAGAGGTTTTCCTTCTCCTGATTCCTGTAGTATTTCAGGGGTACCATTGCAATACTTGGGCTGTCCACTGGTTATCCCCCATTTTATCACCCTTCTGACTCCTTTTACCCCATCATCCATTATTCTGGATGGTTTGGAGAGAGAACACCTCACAGAGAAGTGATGCGGGTTAATAGATTGAGAACTGGTCTTGAAGCTAGGAAAACCTGTGTTCAAGTCACACTGTGACTCTGGGCAAATTCAGGGCTTCTAAACAGGTCTCTAAAAATTGAGCCACTAGGGGGCACCATAGTGCACAGAGCACCCAGCCATGAAGTCGGGAAGACCTGAGTTCAAATGTGACTTCAGACACTTACCAGCTGTGATCTAGGCAAGTCATTTAACCTGTTTGTCTCAGTTTCCTCTTCTGTAAAAGGCAGATAATAATAGCACTTCTAGAGTTGTTGTGAGGATAAAATGAGATCATATTTGTAAAGCACTTAGCAAAGTGCCTGTCACATGGTGTTACATAATTGTTAGCTATTATTATTGTTATTAAAATCAAGTTGCAGAGAAGGTGGCCAACTGCACTGGTAGAGGGAGTTCCCTCATCTGGGAGTGCCCTATACCAGTGAACTAACAGGTTCAGTGCCTGTATCTATCCCATGATAGTAATTGACACCTACATATCACATTTGATATCTGTCTTATTTGATCTTCACAGTCAGTTCTGCCGTATTATTATCCTCATCTTACAGATGTGAAAACTGAGGCTCTGAGGGGTTCAATAATTTTCTCATTGTCGTTTAGATAATGAGTGTTGGTGGTAGGATTGAAACACAGACTTGGGGTCTTCTCTGGCTCCGCTATATCATCCCTCAGGACAGTCAACAGCCTTAAAGAATCTTTGAGCGGCTGAGAGGAGGGGGTACAGGGGTAAGGGAGAGAGCAGTGTCAAACGTGTGCAGGATGCAGTATCTGTAAGCCATCCTTGGAGGGCATTAGACACCCTGTAAAAGTTCTGATCTTTTGGAAATGTTGCTCTGATACACCACTGCAGAACATCTTCCCCTTCCCCCCCCCCTTGTGTTAATTTGGAAGAAAATCTGTCTGATTTTCTTTTTTAATTGTCGAATTTGCCAGGAAGTTAACAGGCAGTGTTTTATTTCTAGGTCCCAGGACAGGTCTGTAGAGACAGAGCCTGCAAGATTGTATTTCTCAGCCCTGCAGTATTTAACATCAATTTCCCACCTTTGAGACAATGAAATATTTGAATATATCTTAAACTCCAGCCCTGGGAATACAGCAGGAGAACAGATTAGCAGAGGCGGCTGCTTCTGGGGTTAAGTTACGGTTAGGGTCGGCCTGTGTTGCCTTGAGAAAATCCCCAGTATTTGCGATTGTTTTGTGGATCCCAAGCTTCTGTATGCCTTCAGAGATGTGGGAGCATTTTGGAGGATATTGGGGGGATCTGAATTCTAAGTTG